CCTTAAAGGGACGCAATCAAGTGCAGGCAGTGAAAGGAGAGAGGGAGTGAAGTGCAGCCCGAGATGTTACACCTGATTGCAGGCTCTCTGCCCAGGGTGTGTAGGGGTTCCTCTGGGTTCTTTAAAGAAAAAACCCTCTCAAAACAATTGTTGTTTTTCTAATTTTTCAGTGTTTTTCTTTTCCTGCCGTTCCCTTTGGGAAGGGAGAACCCAACAACCACCCAAACAAATTCCAAACAATGGAAACAAATTTCCTAGAGAAGGGAAGGAGCAAAGTGAGTTTTGAACAAAGTGCACTGCAGGATAACTCTTTTCTGTCAGCTCTCCTCCCAGCCTTCTTGGGCACGGGGGCAGAGCCTTTTAAAACAGCTTCTAGCAAGTGGGAGCCCAGCTCCTCTGAGCAGCTTTTGGAAGCCCAGTGTGTGTGGAAGCCACTTTGAGGTGGGGTCAGTGTCTCTCCCTGGCTGCTCTGCCTTCACCTGGCCACATCTGTAGGACTTGTTTTGTCAATGCATGTGGAGTGTGTACTATTTGCATGCAGTGAGGATAATAATTGTACCTATGTGCATTTAATCACTGAATCTTCCAGTACTGTAAACTCAGGGAGGTGCAGATGTGACTATCCTACAACAAGCACTTCTGGTAGTCATTGTTGGCTGTCAAAACACAGGCAGGGGAGGGAGAGCAGAGAGAGTGAGCAGCATATGTTTGCCATGAAGTGGTGTATTGACCTGTGAAGCTTTTATGGCCCTTTTATTCTAAAACTTCCCTGTTACTCAGCTGCTCCTGAGTGGTGTTCCCATTCCATGAGCAAGCAACTGATGCTGTGTGCTGCTGCACCTTGGTGTGCTCCTGCAGGGCACTGCTGACCTGCTGAAGGAACAGGCATCTGCTGCAGGATCTTTACCATTACAGGAGCCTTTTGCTGCACCAGGAGCAGAAGGGAAAGGGTGTGGGTTCTTCTCATCTGTCTAAATAAATGGCTCCAATCTTTAGCTTTAGTGCTGGGGGTGTTTTTGTTGTTTCTGATAATATTGTCTTAGGCAGAGATAGAGGAGGATGTCTTCTGGGAGACTTCCCACCAAGTGCCTGAGCACTTTTGTTTGTGGTACACTTTGGGCATCCTCTACATGCCTATAATGAGTCTTTAATATTCCCTTCTGCCACCATGTCCCCAGAAATGTTGTTACATGTTTGCAGTCAAGCAGACACCCCTGGCAAGCAATGGGCACAGAGCTGGGGCTGGGGAATACTGCAGAGGCCAGGAGGGAAGAGGGCAGGAGAAGTGAGGAGGCAGAGGGGTCTCTCTTGCTTTTTTTCAACCAACCCATCCTACCAAGACTTTTTTTTTGTCTTATGGAGCCAACACAGCAAAATTTGGAGACTCAGGCTGGATTCTGACCTTTAGCTGGACAGTTGGCTTGCTTCTGATGGCAAGTCTGCATGTGTTGGTAGTAAAGAAGTCAGAAAAAAACCAGTTTAATGGCCCTGAAAACACCCAAACCCTCCCTGGCAGCTCGGGGAGCCAGCCACTGCCTTGCTCTGTGATCCTGGGTAAGCCCCTTAGCCAGCTGTGCTTGGCTGGTTCCTCCTTCCCAAACTGGCCCCTTGTCTGGCCCTGGCACAGGCCTGCTGGGCACGCCCTGTGTGCAGGGTGGGTGTGCAGTGTGCCCTTGGCCATCTCATCCCCTTGGTGCCCCTGTGCCTCGGGCACTTCCATCTTCCTGGTAGGTCTCCCTGCCCCTGGAGAGGAGCTTGTGGTCTCTGCCAGGGTTCCCAGGTGGGAAGGTGGCAGGAAACACTTGTTAGAGCTGAAGCCAGGACTCTGCCTCCTGTGCAGTGGGTGCTGGTCAAACCACGTACCCAGAGGACTGGAGCAGTCCCTGAGGCTTTGCCAGCAGCCACTGAGGGCAGCAGGCACCTCCTGTCTGTCAGCGTGTTCCTGTGAACAGGGAACAGTTTCAAATGACTCAGAGGGAGGCTGGACAAGTGTCCTGGAAGATGAGGGAGGAACCGTGTGGCTCCAGAACTGCCCAGGCTGACAGTGGCTACAAGTGGCAGATCTCCTCAGGGCAGTCTGTGCTTGTCCTGCTGTCACTCCTCCCTCACCAGCCCTTGGTGGCCACCTCTGAGGGCAAGATGCTGGGCTAGATGAACTCCAGCAGGACCTGTGGATGTTCTTTTAATGGACATCAGCAGCCCAGTGTGCAGAGATTGTCCTGGCTAGGTGTGGAAATTACTCCTTAACTGGTGCTGACTCAGTGACTACCCTGTCCTGCCAAAGGAGACCTGGAAAAATGAATCCCACCAGGAGGTTTTGGTAACAACCCTTGGCTGTGTCACTGGAGGTGCCTTGGCTGTGTCTCCCTGGGGGAGCCTGGCACATTTGCCTTGAAAAACCATGAGCTGCCCATTCCTGTTTTCCCTTTTTTCTTCCTCCACGTGGGTCAGGTGAGTGTGGCTCTTCCCAGGCTGATCTTTCTGCACCCAGGTGAGCTCTGCTGGCCTCACTTTTGGGTACCAGTCCACAGTTTCAGCACCCTAGTGACCTCAGCCCCTTTTGAAGCTGCCCTTCAGTGATGTTCTGCATCCTGCTGCTGCTGGGGGAGAGTCACAGCAGCTGTTAGATGAGATCTACACTGTGCCTCACCTGCACTGGGACCTGCAGTGCCCTTACAGAGGGCATGGAGAGAAGAGCTGCTCAAAGTCTGCTGGAGGGAGCCCAGCAGAGCTGCAGTGTGCTTTGCTTACTGGGGCCTGGTTTATTTTCCACTTTGTGTCCCCTACAAGTGCTGCCTCACCTCTGAGAGGGCTGCATCTGGCTGGAAGTCACTCGAAGCAGCTTGGAACAGAGACTCTGTGCCCTGAACACTGCATGAGTGGGCTTGGCCTCTCTCACAGGAGTGAAATCCTGCCAGGCTCTTGTCCCTGTCAGGCTCCCAGCTCTGCCAGTGAAGAGGCTTTTAGCTCAGTGCTCAGGAGCCACAGAGCAGCTGGGCTCCTGCTAAACTGGGGAGATGCTAGGGGTGGGGATGTAATGGGTCTGATTCCAGCTTGCAGATGTGTCTGGGGGAGAGAACAGAACAGGACATCCTCATACAACCTTTTATTTGCTGCAGCAGAGCTGGGGAGGGATCATCTGTCTGCATGGGCTGCTCTGGCTTCTGGAAGAGAAGTTACTTTCTTATTCTCAGCTTTGTCATATCTTCTTTACTCCTGGGGACCTGGGGGTCTCTCAGGCAGCTAGGGGGATGTCACAGGGAACATCCTTTTTCTTTGCACTTGTTCTGGCTGTGCTCTGCAGTCCTGGGGTGGCTCCTGCTCGGGACACCCCTGTGTTTGGCTCAGGGGCTGGCACAGGGTGATCCCTGGGCTCTGGCTGAGCCTTCCTGGGAGGAGTGGGTCTGGAAAAAGCTCCAGCAAGGTGGCCTGTAGCAGCCAATAGCTGCCATTCATCAGTGGGGCTATGAGATCCCTCACCAGAATCACCTCTAAGCTCTAGGCAGCATGAGAGGGTTTGGGTTATTTTTTGCTTTCAGGGCCATTAAACTGTTTTTTTTTCTGACTTCTTTACTACCAGCACATGCAGCTTTGCCATCAGAAGCGGCCAACTGTCCAGCTAAAGGTCAGAATCCAGCCTGAGTCTCCAAATTTTTCTGTGTTGGCTCCATAAGACAAAAAAAAAAGTCCTGGTAGGATGGTTTGTTTGAAAAAAAGCAAGAGAGACCCCTCTGCCTCCTCACTTCTCCTGCCCCCTTCCTCCTGGCCTCTGCAGTATTCCCCAGTATTCCTGTGCCCATCTCTTGCCAGGGGTGTCTGCTTGACTGCAAACATGTAACACCCCCCATCTGGAGGCAGTTTTCTGTAGAGTTTCAAGCAAGGATCTCCTCAAGTGACACGAAGTGGAGGTGCCCTGGAAAACCAGGGGTGTGCAGGGGGAGTGAGGCGTGCTGCCTGCTCTCTGAAGCAGAACCACCCTCTGGCTCCCGGAGCAGCAGTGATAAATGGAGTCAAACAGCGTGGGGCACAACTGCCTCCTGCCCGTGTGTCAGCTCCACGCAGCTCTCCCAGGTGACATTCTCCCTGGCCATCGTGCTCCTGAGCTTCCCATTGTACCAGCAGTGCAAACAGAATTCACTTGTTTGTTATCGTGGCATCTGGACGTGGCTTTTGATTTCTTGGAGGTTCAAAGGAAACAAAAAGCCCCTACCCCATCCAGCCCTCCTCTGTGTATCAGTGTTTAAATCTGCTCACAGCCCAGCTGCCTCCTGCCCTGCCATGCAGAAGGAGGACTCCTGAAGCAGTCAGTGCAGCAAGGCTTGACAGAGGTGGTGCTGGCTCTGAGGAGGCTGCCTGGAGGGTGTTTGTGGCAGCAGCAAGGTGGGTTGGGGGGCAGGTGTTGTACCCACCTTGTGCCCATCACAGCAGGGTGCCCTGGCTCCAGCCTTCCTGGTTAGCTGCTGGTAAGGAATGGGAGTTATTTTCTTTGGCCTCTGGACTATCTCCATAGTCGTGTGGTTTCCTTCCTACCAAAGGTGAATGTTTCAGATTAAAATTCGTTTTGGCAATTTATGAGCTCTCAAAACAGAGGCTGGAAGGCAGGGGGGTGGGAGTGCCCAGGGTATGACATTTTACCCACTGCAGGAATTCTCTGACCTTTCTTTGTGCTGTAGTCACACGAAAGGAGATGGAGGTGCTCTTTGGGAAGCATTAACAAGAAAACCTCAGAGCTGGAAGGGGCAGGAGAGGGTTGGGGGAGACATTCCCCCTTCTCCTTCATCCATCGCTTGCACAGGTCTCCCTCCTCTCTGCCTTTGTTCCTCTCTGGGCTCTTGCAGCTGTGGTGTGGGTCTGGTGTCTCTCAAACCAACAAGGAACAAACCTAGATGCCCTGTGGGGTGGAACAGGGGAGGTCATGTCTGACTGAGGCTTCTCTGTCTCCTGCCCTGCAGCTCTCCCCTTTGCCCCTCTCCTGTCCTGGGGGCAAGGACCCTGAGAAGATGGAGAACCAGAGGGGGGTGCTCCTGGGATACATCCACTGGGAAGGAGACGAGGAAGGGGATGAGGAGGATGAGGTGGCTCCTGGTGCTTCTCCTTCCAGAGGAATGAGCAGGCTGGAGGATGTGCAGGTGGAGGTGCTGGAGAAGGCGAGGGAGCTCTTCCAGCTCTGTGACAAGGACGAGAAGGGCTTTATCACCAAGGTGGACATGCAGGTGAGGGGACGTCTCCTTCTCCTTTCCTGGGGCAGCTGTGAAGCCGGGGGTGGCAGAAGAGGGGAGGATGTGGCATGTCTTTACTTTGGGCAAGGGTGGGTGTGCACATGGGCTCTGTCTCACTCAGATTTCTGGGAGCCCAGCTCTGCCACAGCCCGCTGCTAGGAACTGAAAATCCAGGAGGGCCTGGGACAAATGGCACAGCAATTCCAACCTTTTAAGGAATGCATAAAGTAAAAAACCCTGCAACAGGTCCTACAAACATTGAGCATTCAGTGGGTGGGAAAGCTGGGGGAAAAAAATCTTTGGTTTTTTTTAGGAAAACAAAACATAACAACCACCCCCCCAAACCAACAGTGAAAAAAGATTCACTGTCCTCTTAAAAAAAGTTGTCTGACTCTTTTTCTCTTAATCACAGCTAAAGCCTGATCTCAAAAACTCACTTTAGGCCTGAACTGGTATAAGTTTGCTCTAGAATAATGTGTTTTGCTGCTCTCTGTTAAAACCAGTATTTGCAACAGAATCTCTCTAGTTCTTTGTGGGTTCTTTCTGTTTTAATGGTTTATTAGGAAGGTTACACGTGGATTGTTTTTCTCCTGTCCCATCTCTCTCTCCATCTACAATTAACACTCAGCAGTTCTGTGCTGGTTTAGTTATTGACTCACTTTGGTTTGGGTTGAGTGATGCCTCGTTTTGTATAGTTACATTAATAAATATTTCCTAAGCTTTTATCTAGGAAGCTGCAGGTTCAGTGGATGGTAACGAGGCTTTAGTCTGTACCTCCTGCTATTGGAAGCTTCTTTGGGTGCCCCTTCACAGGAGGGGCTCTGCACAAGTGTCATGCAGAGAGATCTCTGCCCCTTGCCTGTGTTGTGGGAATAATGATACGGCCCCAAGAGGCAGAAGGTGACAGAAGAAAGCAAATGCTCTGTTGTGGACTAAACAGTCTGTTTATGATCTGCAAGATGTCCTGGAGGAGCTGGGAACTGAATCCAGACACCCACATGTCTGTCCTCCCTCTCTGGCCACAGAGGTGGGGCTGGAAGTGCCCGTGGGAGCAGCAGTGGCCACGGGGTGCAGCCACCTTTGGGCAGGGGTGGAGGGGACAGCTGCTGAGCTACAGGCAGTGGTTCTGAAGTGGGGGCAGATGAGAGCTGGGTTCCCTCCAAACCAAACAACCCCAAGCTGCCTCTCTGCAGCCCTGGCTGGATCACCCAGTGGTGTGAGGTGTAGGTGCAGTGCTGAGGGGACACGTCAGGGTGGGCCAGGGCCGAGGGCAGCAGGGACAGGAGCTGGCCACAGGGAAGACTTGAGTCATGGCCTGATTTTGTTTGTTCTCTTGTCCTCTCAGCGGCTGCAGAGTGAACTCCCCCTCACCCTGGAGCAGCTGGAGGCTGTTTTTGACAGCCTGGAGCAGAACAATAACGGATACCTGACGCCTGTGGAGTTCAGCATGGGACTAGGTGAGGACTGGGGAAGGAGAAGCCCACCAGTGACGTGGTGGTTTGTGTGGGTAAGGAGGTGCAGTGGTGCTGCTGGAGCTGAACCAGCTGGGCAGGGCAGTGCCCTGTGCTCCCAGGAGTGCCACTGCAGAAGGTGTGTCTGGCTGGAGCATCTCTGTGCCAGGCCAGGCTGAGAGCCCTGGGGCTGTGCAGCTGGAGGAGAGAAGACCCAGAGGGGATCTGATCCACAGATGAGGGGCAAGGTCAAGAGGCTGGGGCCAGACTCTGGTCAGTGGTGCCCAGTGACAGGACAAGGGGCAATGGGCACAACCTGGGACCCAGGAGGTGCCACCTGAGCAGGAGGAGAAACTTCTTTGGGGTGAGGGTGCCAGAGCCAGGAGCAGGCTGCCCACAGAGGTTCTCCTCTGGAGAGATTCCAAACCAAGAGAAGAAGAGGCTGAGGACAGACCATATTGCTCTGCACAACTCCCTGAGAGGAGGCTGGAATGATGTGGGGGTTGGTCTCTTCTCCCAAGTAACCAGCAATAGGATGAGAGGAAATAAGTTGCACCAAGGGAGATTTTGATTGGATCTGAGGAAGAATTTCTCTCCTGGCAGAGTGGTGAGACATTGGCCCAGGCTGCCCAGGGAGGTGCTGGAGTCCCCAGCCCTGGAGAGGTTCAACAAACATGTGGCTGTGGCACTTGGGGACCTGGTTTAGGGGTCATGGTAGTGTTGGGGGATGTTGGACTTGATGATCTTAGAAATCTTTTCAAACCTCAGTGTTTCTATGATTCTATGACTTGGTTATTCCCAGATCTCATTGTTTGAAGCATTTGTCCCAGCTATAGCCACAGATGGACATCAGGAGGGCTCCTGCCTCAGTGCCCCTGCTGGCAGAGGCAGACACCATTGCTCTGTGCCAGCCACCAGCTGTCAGGCACCCCCTGTGCTGCCAGCCTGGCTCCAGACCAGGCAAATCACTGAAGTTCTGCTTTTCTTTTCTTTATAGTCATTCTTTGTGTCTCTCCTCCCTGAAATCCTTTCCAGACGTGGCCCCTCACTCCAGAGCTGGACCTGGCATATTGCTGCTGTCCTTCTGGAGCAGGCAGGGGGGAGATGAGGGAAGTGGCTCAAGCTGCAATCAAGTCTGCTCCTTGCATGGCCTCTGACAGGCTGCAGGGTGCATCTGTTCAAATTGGTCATTTTAAAGCAATCTGAGATCCTTCTAGGATGTCAAAATAATCTTCAGATCATTCTCTGCCTCAATTTTCCCAGCTGTAAAGGAGTGATAATGAGACATGATGACTCCTTCCTTAAAGCAGACATCCAAAGTGTCTAATCTAAGTCCATCTCCTTAATTCAACTGTCTGAGCCTCAGGCTTTAAGATGAGTAGGGCTGTATCTCCACACTACAGGGTTTTTTACAGCATATTTTAAGAGCAGAAGTAGCTACATTCTGGATGTACAGAGCTAACAAGTGGTGGAGTTAAGTCACTTGAGGTACACAAATAGTGGATCTTTTTCTCCTTAGAGCAGCTTCATGTTCTCATCTGTGCTCTGACCATCCTTGGCTCCTGGCCTTGTAGCTGGGATGTCAGCTCTGCCTTTTGAACAGCCAGATGTGTGTTGGAAAGGAGGAGCAGCTGCTGGTGGAGGTCTGAGCTCTGTGTCCAGGATGGGAGCCTGCTGATTTGTTCCTCTGAGAAGAATTTGTTCCCAGCACCAGTGTTTGTCACATGCCTTGCCCAGCAGGAGGTTCTCATGGCAGTAGTGTCTCAGCCGGGCCAGGGTCCGGGGGGCTGGGGGCAGCTGGAGGTGGGACAGGCAGGAGGGGCTGCCCAGGGGGTCAGGTCCCTTTGTTTGGACACAGGACCCAATCCCAGCACGGGGCGGTCCCGAGCAGATGGAGCTTGTCAGCGGGGAGGGGCCACAGTCTCCTCCTCGCTCTGCTGAGGCTGGGGAGCCGGGGCACGCTGCTGCTCCGTGCCAGGCTGGTGGCCCCAGAGGGACCCCGGGGCATCACTGGCAACTGCACCAGCCCCTGGGGCTGGAGGGACCTCGTGAGGTGCTTCAGGAGGAGCCAGGGCCGGGGGTGGTGATCGCCCTCACGCCGCAGAGCCAGGCAGCCTGCTGTTGGGCTGGCAGCCAGTCCCAGTGCCAGCTCTGCAGCCTGGGCACTGGCATCACTGGGGGCACAGGGCGGAGGCTCCTGGCTGCCCAGGGGCTGTGTCCCACAGCAGCAGCCTGCAGGCAGCTCCTCCCCCGGCTCTGCCGGGCTGCCGCGGGAGTCCCAGCCTGCCAGATGACATCCGACTTGACTCTGGAATTCCTTTATTCTTCTTCCCTTCTCCTCCCACCAGAAAAGTTGGTGGGGATTGAGTTGTGCCAGGGGGCTGGGAGGATGGAGCGCCCCGGGCACGAGGAGACCTTCGAGTCAGGCTGGTCAGAGGAGCTGGACCCGGCAGATGATGATGAAGAGAAGCGGTTCTGCTCCATGCTGGAGCAGCTCGGAGCAGCCCAGATGTTTGAAGAGTAAGTAGAGGGGTCGTGTGGTGCTACTCCTGCCCTGCTCTCATCCTGCAGTGCCAAAGCTTCAAATACCAGCCAAGACTGAAGAGTGAACTGAGCTGCTGGCTCTCTGGAGCACTGCTTGGGCTTTCTGTGCTGCTCTCAGGGCTTCTCCTCCGCCTGGAAACACGGGCAGGCAGCTCTGGGCTTTCCCACCAGCATTACTTTTAGTGCAGTGCTTCTCGCAGAGAGCTTCCCAAACTAGAGTTCCTGCCACAGCTGTAAAACAGCTGGAGCACAGAAGCAAACGAAAAGAAGCATGTGAGGGTCAGATGAGGTAAGGAGGAGGAGTGTGATGTCAGCTCCCAAACAGGGTGGGATGGAAATCACCTGCATGTTTCTTTTCATGCCAAACAACTCTTCCTGTCCTGAAAAATCCTGGAAAGCTGTTATGCTTCAAATAATGGGCTGACTCTGTGAGAGGCACTGCTCTGGAGAGACTGTCTCTGCTGTTTATACCTCTGCTTTGAGAAGTATCAGCTCTTAGAGTGGAATTCCCCCTGTTTTATCGTGGCCACTTCCTCGCAGTTTTCCACCATGAGTTCAGTAGCTGCTCCATGTCAGGCCTGTGTGCCAAGCCAGCTGTTGTGAAGAGGTAACATAGAACAGAAGCTGAGGTCAAAGCAGGAATCTGAGCTATCTTCAGTTTGCAATAAGAAATGGGTTTGTTTATTGTGGGACTCAGTATGTTCTTTTATCTGAAAGATGAAGTTCTGATGGAGTGCTAGCAACTTTGTCAGCTCGGGACAGAAACAGGAGGCTGTTGTGCAGTGGTGGCAGTGGGGGTCAGGAGCCTTTTGGCTGGGTTTTTTTTGCTTGTTTTTTTCACAAAGAACATCAGAGAAGACAAATGCATAGAGGAAGAAAAAAAAAATCTATTTGAATAATGTCTAGAGGTGTCATTATTCTCTATGTTTCAAGGCAGTACCTCCAGGTACTTCAGATTTAAAATAAATAAGCTCTTCCCTAAAAAGAAGCATGTCAAGAGCCTTTTGGCTGGGGTTTTTTGCTTGTTTTTTTTTTTCACAAAGAACATCAGAGAAGACAAATACATAGACAAAGAAAAAAATCTATTTGACTAATGTCTAGAGGTATCATTATTCTCTATGTTTCAAGGCAGTTCCTCCAGGTACTTCACAGATTTAAAATAAATAAGCTCTTCCCTAAAAAGAAGCATGAAGTGATGTCTGCAGGCTTCTAAGACTCCTTGGGAAGGAGTGAGTTTATAAGTGCTGTGTTCATTTTGTGATGAATTAAATGCCAAAACAGTGTAACTAGGGTTGATTCAGAAAAAGATGACTTTGGATTTCCAGGGCTCCCTCCACTATTATCCCGACATGACACCTGGGCAGGTTTCCTTTTCTTTGTGCCTCAGTTTCCAAACCTGTGAAATAAATAAACAGGGAGGGCAGTGGCACCCACCAGCAGAGTCCTGCTGTGAGAACACCACGGATGTGCTGTGTGCTGAAATCCCTGAGCTGCCTGACCACAGCTCACAGAGAGCGTGCTGAATGTCCATCTCTTTGAGTCTTGGTTTAGACACCAAACGTGTTATTACTGAATACTGGGGAAAAAAATCATTCCAGTTTGCTTCCTAGGTGACTTTCCTCCTCCTCTTCCAGATGACTGGGTTTATTTTCACCTCACAGCAGCTCTTGCTGCACAGCCATGCTCCATCACTGCCCAGCCCCCCTCTCTGCCCTGATGGAGGGCTGGAGGTTGTCACGGGAGGGGGGCAGTTTGTCTGCCCCTTGGAGTTGGAACAGCACTCCGTAGGAGGGCACAGAAACTCATCTGCTCTCCTCCTCTCTTCTGTGCCCCTTCCAGCCCCCGGGAGGTTCGGGAGCTGTGGGCTCGGCTGAGGAGGGAGCGTCCAGAGCTCCTGCCCAGCTTTGAGGAGCTGCTGCTGCGCGTCTCGGCGTACGTCAGGGAGGTGACCCACGAGAAGGAGTCCATGGAGCAGGCGCTGAGGCGGTGAGGAGGAGTCGTGGCCAGCTGCTGTCAGGGCCCAGCTGCTGCTGGGTGCTGCCTCAGGCTGGGTTACCAGGCACAGGGGTTCTTCTTGCTGTAACAAAATGACTCTTCACCCCGATCCGATCCCCAGGGGTTTGTTTTGCATCAGTTCCCACCCGTAACATTTGGTCTGGTTAAAATCCCACTTGGTGCCACACGGGTGTTCGTGGGCATCTGTTTCCACCCTCCTCCTCCCCTCCTTCCTTTCTGTGTTCCCTTTCTCTCCTGAGCTGTGTGCACCCTGCCTTTTGCAGGAAGGAGACAGACCACGACCGAGAAGTCCGGTGCCTTTACGAGGAAATGGAGCAGCAGATCAAGGCAGAAAGGGAGAGGCTGATCTGCCAGGTACTCACCCCTCTGGGCTGAAGTCAGGCTTCCTCTGCTGGTGGCTCATCTGGCTGAGGAGCAGCTCTTACCGTGCTGGGTGTTGTGTGTCTTTGCCTCTGCAGGAAGCCCTGAGACATGACAGGAGCAACCTGCTCCAGAAGGAGCTGTGCAGCAAAGAGCAGGAGCTGGAGAAAATCCTCCACCGGCAGAGGAAGGTAACAGGACCCAAATCCTCTCTATAGGAGCACGTTCCCTTCTACTGGCTTTCTACTAAGGCCTCTTCTGACAGAGAATGGTTCTCACCTGCTGAGGGCTGCTGTGAGCTGATCTGGTACTGCCTAGTCTGGTTCTCTGCTGTCTCTGGAGGTGTTGAAGGTTTGTCAGTGGGCTGCGTGGACACTTGTTGCTCCATCTGACTTCACTCTGAGGCTGGTACTGAAGCTCTGTGGATGTTCGGGTCCCTCTTGTGGTGCAGGGCCGGTACTGAGCTCCTGCTGGCCCACGGGGTGGCTCCCAGCAGCAGGCAGCACCCCGGGAGGGTGCCGTGGGGTGACATCTAGGGAGGGGCAGGTTGCTTCCCTTCCAGCCTGGCCCTGGCCCGCTGGGAGCTGGGGCTGCTGCTCCTCAGGCTCGGCTCCACTGCTCCGTGTCCCTGGTCACCCTGGAGTGTTCCCTGGTGTCCCAAGCCTCCAGGCAAAGCTGGGTGAGACTCAGGGCTTGTGTTTCAAGGCACCTTGAAGGGGGTCATGGAGGGCCACGGAGAGGTCAGCTCCCATCACTCCTGCTCAGGGCTGTGGCAGATGAGCTGCAGAGAGCAGGGTGGTGAGAGGAAAGCACCTCGTCTTGTGCCACACTCTGCTGCTTTGCTTCCCTGGGAGAGGGGGAGGAGGAGGAGGTGAGCTGAGAGGAAGGCAAGCTGGAGGTGCAGATGTGGAGATGACCCTGCCACCCACCCCACTGGCCAGAGCTGGTTCCTGCTGCTCCCCTCGGGTTGCAAGCACAGACTGTGTAGTGTTATTTTGGGGCTGTGAGTTCTCAGGGGGGTACCACCATTTCTGTGTAGCTCCAGCTTCAGCAGAGGGCCCTGGCTGGCTGCTGTGGCTGGCTGGGTACCGTGTGCTCCAGTGTGACCCTTCCTGCCATGTGCTGCTGGGCTGGGGGTGGGTGGGTTTGACTCTTGCCCAGGCTTTGAACTCCCCACACCAGGCTTGGTAGTTGTGCTGGGGTCTTACACTGCCTCAAGTGCAGCTGTGCCCCAGCAGCATTTAAACACCCTCTTGCCCCAGGTCCTGCCTCCCACAGCAGCAGAGGCCAGCAGGTCACTTGACTTTCCAGGGGCAGTGTGAGGTACCCCCAGCACCCCGATACCTCCCCCTGAGCTGCCTGGGCTGGGGAAGCCCCCAAACCAGAGGCTGCATTTCAACGGCGGTGCTTAATAAGTCCCACCAGACACCCCCTTGCTTCCACCTGGATTTTTCCAGTCCTCCTTTGACCCTGGTTTGCACTCTGATTCCTACAGCTGCCTGAAGTGTTTCCTCAGCTCTGCCTGGCTGCTGGCATTGCCTGCTGCCCAGCACTGCCACCATGAGAAATAATTGCTTCCAGTTCACCTCCTCCGTGCCACCGGTGCTGCTGGAGACCTCCGTTGTGTTTGCCTCCCTTCTGCCTCCTCCTTCCCATCTGCTCTTTGCTTCCGTGTGCTTTGTAGGGGTGTGACTGCAGCACAGACCCCTTCCTCTCTGTGTTTAACCCCTCCTCCTCCTCTCCCATCACAGCTGGAACAGCAGCTGCAGTCGCTGAACTCGGAGCAGCTGGAGACCCGTGTGCAGAACCAAAGGCTCCGGCACCTCAACGAGAACCTGCTGGAGGAGCTGGAGAAAAGCAGATGGGAGCTGGAGGCTGTGAAGGGGCAACTGCAGAAGCTCCAGAAGGAAGCTCAGCTTGAGCAAGAGCAGAAGGACAGGTGGGAATGGGCAGGGAAGGGGGGTGTCAGGGCAGGGACCTGGGCAGAGAAGGAAGGGTGGGCAAGTAGTTAAAGAATAAGGATCTCCAGCTAGAAGCCTTGGTCTCATCAGAGGATTCTCTGCCTCTTGGGGAAGAGAAGTAACATCCCAATTTTGGGCTTAAACAGGGAGCGATACTGCAGCCTCCTCCCTGCTCTGATAGGAAGTATGTGCACTGATACTTGGCTAGAAAAGCAGCAGAAAAGGTACAGCTGTCCTCAGCCTAAAGGAGGCAGGCAGGTTCTCTGTGTATTTTCCAGTTCACCATCACCTCTGCAAAGTTCCTACAGATCTTCTGCTAATCACTCATGTTCCTTTTTCTGGGCTTAATCTAATAGTATGTAGCTAAACCACTGGGATGTTTGAGATCCAGCTGGCAGTGAGCATCCTGCCTGTCTCTGGCAGCTGAGGATGCTGGAGTCTGGAAGGAGGAGATGGGTTGGTTGCCTGCCCTCACCCTGGGGGGGCATGGGTGAGTTGGGGTGCAGCCCAGGCATCCCAGCTCCTGCAGCAGTGCTGCTGCCTCTGAGCCCTCCTAGCACAGGGCAGGCCCTTACCCCTGAGGAGACCACCAGTATCCCTGGGAAGATTTTTACACTGAGGGTGGTGAGCCCCTGGCCCAGGAGAGATTGATGCCCCATCCCTGGAACCATTCCAGGCTTGGACAGGGCTCTGAGCAACCTGCTCTAGCTGAAGCTGTCCCTGCTCCCTGCAGAGTAGGACTGGATGCATTTTGAAGGTCCCTTCCAACCCAAACGAGTCTATGGTTCTATGAAAGGGATCTTTGTATCTCCTCCCCATTAACTCATTTCCCTTTTTAAAAATCTCCTTTGCCCAGGGATGTGTTCAGAGTCTCCAAGAACATGCAGAAAGAGAAGCAAAGCCTCCTTCGGCAGCTGGAGCTCCTCAGGTGAGGACAGGGCTGGGGGGAATGTTGGTGGCTGATCATCTCAGGAGGTCTTTTCCAACCTCAGTGATTCTATGATTCTATTGTGATACTTCAGGACAGGGTTTAGTGATCCTGGTAGTGTTGGGTTGATGGTTGGACTTGATGATCTTAGAGCTCTTTTCCTACCTCAATGACTCTGTGAAAAGCTGAGCTCTCGTGCACGTCAGGGGCTGAGGTTCCAGCACTGTGCTCGTTCCTCCCCCAGGAGGCTGTGGGGATGTGTTCAAGCAGTGTTCCCACACCAGTAGCTTTTCTTGCTCCAGCTGCAATCCACCAGCTCTGGCAGAGCCTGGGCTGTGCCACTTCCCCACCTAACCCCTCCCCTGGAGGAGTTCAGGCTGTCCTCCTGGCAGAGGGGACCCTGAGGAGCCCATTACCTGAGCTGGGACACAGGGAACTCCCCTGTCTGGCAATAGAGAGCAGCTTTAGCTGTGTCCCAGGCTCCCTCTCTGTCCTGATTTTGCACTGCTGGGGATTTGCTCCCTTTCTGATGAGTGCTTCCTTGTCTGTCCCGTGTCTTCCTCCGGAGCAGAGAGATGAACAGGAAACTTCGAGACGAGCGAGACGCTTTTGAGGCCAAGAAGCTGGTGAGTGTAAGAAAGAAACTCCCAACTCCCAACCACCCTCCCTGCATCTGCTGCTGCTGCTGTCGCCACGCGGGGGCCTGTCCCTTCCACGGGGGACAATGACCTGAGCCCACGGTGCTTGGTGTGCCGTTCAGGAGAGACTTGGCAGCACCTCTGTGCCCACGCTGCAGACAGGCTCTGCTGGGTGCTGCCACCAGCAGCCCGGCTTCACAGCCCCTGTCACACAGCCCCTGTCACACAGCCCCGTGCAGGTGTGTTGTCACAGGCATGGGGCACCTGCAGGGAGGGACCTGAAGCTGGATCATAGAGCTGGGTGGTGAGGAAGGAGATGCTCGCTGCTGGCTGACTGGGGGTGGAGGGGCAGAGGAAGGTTTTGGAGTCTCTCTGAGCCCTTGGGTTTGTAGCAGATGTTTCCAGGTGTTGCTCGGGGGCAGCTCCTCGTTCCTGTGAGCTCTGGGGGGGTGGAGGTGCAGCAGTGAGCCTTGTGGCAGGGGGCTGGGAGGAAGCAGAGGCCTCTGGAACAGTCAGCTCCATTTCTGGCCTTTCCTGCTTTCCAAGATAAGTACGGATGTGTGGCCTATTTTTAATTCTTGTTATTTTTCCATGAAAAAGTCCTTTGTGTTCCCAAACATCACTGGCAAGGCTGCTCTGTGCTCTTCTTGGCCCCGTCCCTGCCACCATGGGTCTTTTGCCTGCTCAGCCCCTGTGCCCCCCTGCAGAGCTGGCCCAGGGTCCATGCCCTGCTCGGGGAGAGCCAGGAGCTGTTCCCCAGGTGGAGCAGCAGCTGTACAGAGCAACTGCAGTGCCTGCTCTGGCTGGGGTGCTGTGTGTGCTTGAGCCTCTGCGTGTCCTTCCAAAATCTGAAAGGAGGCTTTTGTGGGGTTTGTCTCCATTTTTAAAGCTGCTAAGTAGGGGAATGTGCAGTAGAGCTTCCTGCTCCCTCCTGGAGAAGTAATAGACACAGTCCCTCTGGAGCAGAGTCCAGCACAAGCAGGCAAAGAAATGGTTTGTTCTCCTCTTGCCACGCGTGGTGCTTCATCACCTTCTGGGTTCCTGTGGGTGGGGTGGGTGGCCCCCAGAGACCACGGCTCAGGTAGGTACTGCTGTGTGTGCAAAGCTTGTCTGCTTCTCCTCTCTTCTCTCCTCTTCCCCTGCTAGGACCTGCTCAGGGCTGCTCTGAAACGTGACAGTTGCAGGTGGACCCAAGAGAGGGTCACAGCAGAGGCAGAACGTAGCCGTGTTCTCCTCCTGCCTGTGCTGGCAGCAGGGTGAACTCCTCCTGCTGCTGCTGCTCCCCTGGCAGGGCTGGGCCCTGCTGGGCAGGTGAAGCTGGCTCTGCAGTGAGGTTTTTTTTCCCTTTGTCAGCCAGGACGTCCCTGTGGCCGCTCGCAGCCCGCAGGAGAGCAGGGCTCCAGGGGATTGCAGAGATGCTGCTGTCGCCAGGCACCCGCAGAAGATCTGCTCTCCAGGCTGTCCCACTGCCAGGGAGAGAGAAAACACCAGTGCTCCCCTGCAGCAGCAAAAGGGAGAGTCCAGCCTTCTGATGGGGATCCCTAGTGTGTGACTCTGCCAGAGACTCTCAGAGCTTTGACACGCCAGAAGGAGCCCCGAGGGCTAAGGCCTCGGGTGGTGCTGGAAGAGCCGTGCTGTTTCTGTGACACGAAGGTGTGATGAGCAGCAGCTCTCGTGGCAGAGGTTCTGGAGTGGTTGGAAGGAGGAGCTGGGCTGTAGGTGGCTGAGGGCAGCCCAGCCCCTGCTCTGAGCCCAGCTTTGGGCCTGGCTCTCTGTAAGAGTTGCTGCCCTCGCCGAGGTGGGCAGAGCCCGGCCCCACGGCACGGGGGCCACTGCTTCACCCCAGTGGCTTGCCACAGGTAGCACCGTGTGGCTAGTTCAGGCTGTGTGCACACCCCCAGCACTGCTGGGTGCCTCCCAGGCACAACAGTTGTGGTCTCACACCCATGGCCCATCGGGCTGTGAGTTACTCTTGTCACATCTGTCCCTTTGCCATCCCGGTGAAAACCAAACGTTGCACAAACCTGGCAGGCCAATAAAGTGTGGCAGAGCCAAGGGCAGAGCGTGCCCCATGGGTCCTCCTTTCTCCCCTGCCAGCTCCAGTGGGCTGTGACACAACTCCCTTGTTCCTCTGCACCTCGAGAGTGCCCCTGAGTGAACCTGCTCGAGCCCTGACCCCTCCCTGCCCTGTGCCCCCTGGAGAACCACTGGCTGGCTGAAGCACAGCCTGGTGTCAGTGCTGACCAAAGGGTCTCTGTGCACCTGGGGGCCTTTGCCTTGGAAGATAAATGCTCTGCAGTTGTGAGCCTTTGGCTGCTGGATTGTTTCTGTGGCTGGAGCTTCTCTTGAACACTAGTTTTAGATGAAAAGTTGTTTTTGGGGTTTGGGGGATTCCCCCCTGCACACCCCCTGAAGTTCCTAGTTGGGTGAGGCCCTCTGTGGAGTCCAGAGTGTCTCCTTTTGGTGGTCCACATTGTGAAAAAGGTGTCCTGGGAGTTCTGACCAACAGAGCAGCTTCTTCATTTTCTTGCCTTTTAAAATAAGCCAGGGGTTATTGAAGAACTAACCTCAGCAGTCCTCCCCAGGGCTGTGGGCAGCAGCAGGACGGCCTGTCCAGAGCTGCCTGCAGATGTCTGCTCAGTCCCGAGCTGCTGCCAGGGGCAGATCTGGCAGGCTGCAAACCCCTTTCCCCACCTTCACCCCCAGGAGTGGCCTGTGAGGGCGTGTCAGGAACGTCCAGGCTCGGGGAGGGAGCAGATCTGCTCCTCTCAGATGGGCACCTTGCCCTGCTGCCTCTTGGCCAGCCCGTGGTGGGGTTGGGCTGGAGCACAGCTCCTGGGCAGCCTCCCCCAGGCTGTCCTGTGTCACCTCGGGCACGTCACTGCTCTGTGACTCTGCTGGATAGAGGGTTCAGAGGAGCTGTCCTGTGTCACCTCGGGCAGGTCACTGCTCTGTGACTCTGCTGGATAGAGGGTTCAGAGGAGCTGTCCTGTGTCACCTCGGGCAGGTCACTGCTCTGTGACTCTGCTGGATAGAGGGTTCAGAGGAGCTGTCCTGTGTCACCTCGGGCAGGTCACTGCTCTGTGACTCTGCTGGATAGAGGGTTCAGAGGAGCTGTCCTGTGTCACCTCGGGCAGGTCACTGCTCTGTGACTCTGCTGGATAGAGGGTTCAGAGGAGCTGTCCTGTGTCACCTCGGGCAGGTCACTGCTCTGTGACTCTGCTGGATAGAGGGTTCAGAGGAGCTGTCCTGTGTCACCTCGGGCAGGTCACTGCTCTGTGACTCACCCCCCCCCCCGGCTCCTAACCGCTGTCCTCATGCCTTCTCTCTTCCCCTTCCAGGCGCCTCAGGGCACAGAGCCCCTGCTGGAGGACGGGTCAGTGCTAGGCAGTCCCCTGCTGGAGGAGGAGCCGCTCAGACGGTCAGAGGGGTGTCTGTGTTGTGTTCGTGGTGTCCGTGCCCACGGCAGCACCCTGCCCGGCGAGCTCTCTCCTCTGTCTTGTTCTCCCCCCCTGGTGCTGGCTGGGCTGGGGGCAGCTTGGCTGTGGCTCTAGCTGCCCCTTGGCATGAGGTGTTGGGCTCAGCGTGGAGCTGAGGACACTTGGCTAATTCCAGAGGTGGGTGGTCTCCCCTGGGCTGCTTCCACGTGCAGCAATGGGGGAGCAAACCTGGATGCCATCAGGAGAAGCTTTCACGGGGTGGGAGTCACGAAGGCTGCCTCTGAGTGAGCCAGGCAGCCCCACAGAGTGCCTGGGTCATCTCCCAGGTGTGCCAGCTCCTGCTGGGGCAGAAATCCTGTCCGCTGGCACCTCATGCCAGAGCCCATCTCCCTGGTGCACGGGGGAGGGCAGGAGCTGCACAAGGCTCGTGTTCTCTCTGGCAGCTGAAAGCCCCGAGGAGAGGGCCCAGCTCCAGGTGGGTCCATCCTGCCCATCTCCCTCCACGCCTCTGCAGAGGCTCACCTGGCACACTACAGGGCAGGAGGACGTGTCTGTGTGCCCAAGGCTATTTTGTCTTTCTCTTTTTGTGCCCCACATGCAGCCCGTGCAGTGGCTTCCCCACCCAGGCAGCCTGCTGGCCTGAGCTGTGCTGGCATCAGCCCTGGAGGAGCTGTGTGAGCAGCACAGCAGCACTGGCCCACAGCCTGGTTCCTCAGAGGCAGGGGAGGCCAGCCCAGCTCTGACCTGGCTTCCACCCCAAACACATTGCAAAGGCAGCGTGCCTCTGCTCCTGCCAGGCCTCTGAGGAGGGTCCACTGGTTCTCAGCTTCCCCTGGGACACAGGGCTGGCTCAGGGTTCCTCCAGCTTCCACTCACCCTGGATGCTCAGCAAGTTTGGAAGTTTCAGACTCGAGCTTCATGCTGGTGGGCTGATGGAGGACCAGGGAGCTGTGGAGCAGGGCTGGTGCTGAGCTGAGCCCAGGGGGTTGCCTGGCTGGGCCTGAGGCAGAGCTGACTGTTAGTTGTGTGGCTGGCAGACACGTTCCCCATGGGAGCAGACAGCCAAGTTCTCCCATCCTCCTCCCCAGGTAGTTCTTGCAAAGGTCCTGCTGGCATGAGCCCACCAGAAAGGCTTAACAGGAGAGGGCTGGTGTGAGAAGGGGAGATGTGTCTGTTGGACCTGTCTCTGTCCCAGTGCTGTGCCACACCCCGTGGCTGGAGGAACATGAACACCATCCGTTAGGTCTGGAGCCACTGTTCAGCAAGCTCTGCCCTTGTCCCTTTGTCCCATCCTGTGAAGAGGCTCTTGGGTCTCAGCCCCTCATTGACTCCTGCCAGCCCTGGGAGGTGGGGCTGTCCCTCAGAGCCTGGGAGGATGTGCCTGTTCTCAGAGGAGAGAGGTTCCAGCTGATGTTAGGAGGAGATGCAGGGAGAGCAGCCAGGGATGTGAGCTCTCCTTCACAGAAAGGTGTTGGCAGGGCAGGAGGTGAATCATAGAATCCTGTTACTTGGAAAAGACCTTTAAGATCATGAAGTCAAACCACTAACCCAGCACTGCCAGGTCCCCACTGCCCCGTGTCCCTCACACCACATCTCCACGGCTTGGGAACCCCTCCAGGGGTGGGGACTCCACCACTGCCCTGGGCAGCCTGGCACAGCCCTGGGCAAACCTCCAGAGGAAGAAAAAAATTTTTCCTGATATCCAACCTCAACCTCCCCTGGTGCAACTTGAGGCCATTTCCTCTTGTCCTGTCCCTTGGCCCTGGGGAGCAGAGCCCGACCCCCCCCTGGCTCCAGGCTCCTGTCAGAGCTGTGCAGAGGAGCTGGAGGAGGCTGCAGCCCTGGGGTGTTCCCACAGCAGTGAGAGGAGAGTCGTTGCCTTGATTCCTGCACTCGTAGCAAGAGAATTTTGCAGAGAGAGATGGGCTGTGCTGGCTCTGAAGAGATGGGTTGTTGTACAGCATTCGAGCTGCTCTCCTGAGGACTGTTCCTCCTCCACTGCCCATGCCAGCCCTGCCCCAGGGAGCAGAGCTCACCACCGACCTGCTCTGGTGTCAGCACAGTCAGTGCAGCACCCAGCCACCCACCCACTGCCCTGCTGCCTGCAGTCAAACCCCTGTTGCTCACCTTCAGGCCTTTGATGCTTCTTTTTGTGTTGTGTTTTGTAACAAAACTGGAGGGGAAGGTTGTTGCTGCTTTTTTTTTATTCATTTTAAAGATATGTTTTTCTTGTGGCCACCTTTTGTCTGCTTTGCCTCGTTTTTTTTTCATTACTGGGAGAAGTGGGAGGCAAAGAATCCTTGAAAAATCCAGAAGGTGGGAATTGTAGTTAAAATGAATGAAGTCAGTGGGCAGATGTGGGGCCAGGGTAGCTCAGAGGAGCTGCCTCTCCTTCCCGAGGGGTCCCAGGGAGGGGTGTGGAGTCCCTGCATGTGCTGTGCATGCACTCGTGGGACCACGCTGGTTGTTCTGGGGGGTGCAGCCTCACCCCCTGCCCTCCCACCCCCTCTCTGGTGCTGTGGGCTTCAATACAGACAGCTGGCCCCTGTGGACCTTCGTGTCATCGTCCCCGTGGAGGGACAGGCACTGCCAGCGGACGGCGAGAGGTTCAGGATGACTTCACAGGGTGCTGCTGGCTGCAGAAGAAGTGCAGATGGACTAGATGATGCTCCCTTGCCTCCCAGAGCACAGCCTGTTGGCACCGAAACCAGGGTGAGTGGCTACTGGGGGTTCTTCCTCAAACACCCACTTGAGGGTCTCTCTCTCTCTCTGCCCCGCTAACTCCAGCTCTGTAGGTGTACAGCGCAGGGTTTGGAGCACAGCCTGCAGCTGGGCTCTCCCAAACTGCCTCCCCTTCTGCCCCTGCAGCTCCAGGCCCTGGGAGCAGCCAGCTCTTGCCCAGAGCACCTCTTCAGAGTGGTGTTTGTGGGCAGCTCGGGCGTTGGGAAGAGCTCCTTCATCCACCGCTTCTGCTCGGGCAGGTTCTGGGCTCAGCTCAGTGCAACCATCGGTAGGTAAGAGGGTTCCTGGCTCCTCTGGCTGAGGAGGGTGGGAGGGGCAGCCTGGACACTTGCTGTCTGCCTGGGTTTTGGCCCAGCTAAAGGTACAGATGGTCCTTCTCCCAGCTTTGACCCAATCTTGCCATCTCCCTGAATTAAACAGAGTTGATCTTGGCCATTGGAACAGCAAGCTGCTCTCTCCCCATCCCCTCTGACCATCACTGTCACCTTCCTGACAGGTATTGACTACCAGGTGAAGACTCTGATGGTGGATAACACCCAGGTTGCCCTGCAGCTGTGGGACACAGCTGGACAAGAAAGGTGAGGGTCTCTGTGAGGATGTCCTGCTGACAGAGCATGGGCACCTGGTTCC